TACGTAATGTTTCTTACGCACCTTACATATGATCTGATTTGGCAGTTTTATATTAGTCATTAGTTGGGGCACAAGCCCACCATAAAATTCAGGGTGGAGGGGGCAGTTTAACTCGTAGAGAAGGGATTTACGTAAGTTAAGTAGAAGTACTACGTAGGTCTAACATTTCGAATTAGAGATGGCGGCCAGCCCCTAAAGATAAATCATGTTTCGCCCAATTGTGAGATTCGACATTACAAATTGGGAAGGCAGCCCTATGGTTTATTATCTTGTGTAAGATTCCCTTAACTAGTCGCACCCCCTTGTTGTATGTCATCAATCACTACCTTGCAGTCCAGAGGCAACATGAATCTGCTGGACATATAGATCTTGTGTAAGTGTTAAGGCTTCTCTAACAGCTAAAGCCTCAAGGGTAGCCGGTCCGAGATTCCAGAGAAAAAAATGGTCAAGGCTCCAATGAAGTTCCAATCTCCATCTCTGCAAACTGCTCCCATTGTACTGAAATCTCCGTTTCTTTGACACAAGTGCGTCGACATTGATTTTCACAAGGTTATTCGGAGGTGCGATCCAATGGTCTTATTCATTTTCATTCTAGGAACCGCAGTAGCCGGCTTCTAGAGACCTTGAATATCTGTCAAAAAAATATGTGAAGCAATGGGTGGACAAAGGACTTTGAAAAATATCCTCGTGGATACAAGTTTCTTTGTTCCAACCGAAGAAAGAAAAGCTATCTCCCTAGTGCTAGCCGCTAGGGAGTCAATCCGCCATCGTTCCTCCGACAGGTCCCCTCGTCGACGACCTCGGTCGGTGGTGAGTGGGTTGTTGGATTCACGCGCGTGGACCATCTTTAGGCCCTCATAGTCTAGGTTTTTAGATGGTAGTCTAGATTTTTAGATGGTTCATCGTCTTGGCTTCGGCAGCGGCGATGGTTGCGCTGAATAAAGATTCTTCAGACCCTTCCCCCATGAGACGATCGGTCCTGGTTGGGGATGAATTTGGAAACCAGACTGTTCAAGAAAGGGTGGTGTGGAGAAAGCAGCATCCTCGTGGTGGACCAATGTCCTCAGGCTCCACCGTTGCGATGACGTTTGCTCCAGCAACGACACGGAGCTTGGGTGATAGTCCAGGAGCGGATGCAGATTGTGGTCTACATCAACGATATTTGGAAGATGGTGGATCGTGTGCTGGGTTTGTTGATCGTGGATGGCAGGTATGATTTTCTCCTCCAATGTCTTAGTCATGCGGGGTGCCAGATTTAGAGTTCAATGACGTGTTCGGGGTGTTGCCTCGGTCTGATTTGTTCAATAATAATGGTTTCATCTTTGATGAGCCATCTTGGAGGTCCGCAAAGGTGCATATCAACGATGGAACCGCGTCGAGTTCGAGTGAGGAGATAATCCGTCATTTTTTTTCCTTTGATGACTACTTTGATGGCGCCAAAGTCAAGTGATGGGCGTTGGTGTCAAGTTCAAATGATTTTTTAGCCTTGGTATCTTTTTTCTTCTTGGCTTGACTTCCTTTATGCAAATGCTAGCATTTACTATATTTTTCAGTTTTTTCATTCTGATGTGTACTAATTTGTATTATGATCTTTATAATATAAATGAGACACTTATTACCAGGAGAAAAATTCCTCGTGGATCACCTTTCGCCTAGCCCCTTATATAAGGTGACCACTGGCAGCTCTTATTCGGCATGGCTATTTTTTTTAAAATAATACATTTTTTAATTAATTTGCATAAATATTACGCTGATATTTTTATTTTTAAAAATAATACACCATCGGCCTGCTGCAGGCAGGTCGATTGGCCCAGTCAGCCAGCAACAGGCCGATGGTGTATTATTTCTTAAAATAAAAACATAGGCGTAATATTTGTATAAATTAATTAAAAAATATAATATTTTTAGAAAATAGCTTCGGCGTGTAGGTCGCCGCCAAGCGACAGCACGCGTACCCCTCCTCCCCCATGCCCAGCTGCGTATACGTGGCCCGGCCCGGGTAGTTCATGTTCGATTTGAACCTTCCCAAACTGATTTTTTTCCGGTTTTTTCTTATTTTTCAATTTTCCTTTTTTTCCTTTTTGCCTCTTCATTTCTTTTATCGTTCTAGTTTCTTTTCTTTTCCTATTTTTCTTCCTCTTCATTTCCCTTTTTTTCTCGTTTTCATAAACAATTTTTTAAAATTGTGAACATTTTTTGTTCACTGAATTCAAAAAATGTTCATGCAATTAAAAAATAGCGGATTCAAAATTTGTTCACCATAATTTTGAAAAATGCTCATACACTTTTCAAAAAGTTTATCCTATTTTCAAAAAGTGTTGTTGAATTGAGAAAATGTTCATCAAGTTCAAAAAAATGAAAAATGTTCATCGTATTCAAAATTGTTTCACCATAATTTTTAAAAATATTCATCAAATTCAAAAAATATTCGTCCATTTTTATGAACGTCTATCCGTTTTTTTTAAAAAAATGTTCTTGAATCGAGAATTTTTTCATCAAGTTCAAAAAATGTTCATCAAATTCAAAATTTTGTTCATCTGATAAAAATGTTCATCAATATCCAAATTCAGGAACATTTTTTGAAATCATGAATATTTTTTAAATTCATAAATATTATTTGAATCGAGGGGCATTTGTTGGTGAATTTTGGAACTTTTTGAAATCACAAATAATTAAAAAACAAAAGAGAAGAAATAAACAAAAGAAGAAAATTGGGGGCGCTCTGCCTCCGCTCATTGGCCGGCCCAAATGGGCCGTGGGGGGGGGGGGAGCGGGGTGCGCGCACATCCGTCTCCCGGCGCATACCGCGGCAAATAGGGGCACCCGTGACCGCGAAATCACTAATTGAGGAGTATTCCTTCTAAAGATCATTCTTACCTTCCCAGGTTGCGACATATGAAACACTGCATGTACACCACTTGTCGTAATTTAGGAGTTTCTTTTTTTCGTAGATCCATTTATTCAAAATATTTTATCTCTTGAACTATGTGTCCAAATCTCGAATCGTTTTTAGCGTTTGATTCCTTGTGTCCACACATTTCAAACTAGATCCTATGTTGATAGATTTTGACTAACATTTTTTGATAAAAAAACTAGATAAAAAAACCAAACTGAGAACACATTTTTTTTTTCCTTTCCGAGAGGCACAATCATGCCTCTCGCGGAAGCAAAATCATGCCTCTCACGAAAGAAAAAAAACACATATTTTTTTTCATTTCCGAGAGGCACGATCGTGCCTCTTACGGAAGCAAAACCGTGTCTCTCACGAAAGGAAAAAAAATAAAACACATTTTTGTCCGTTTTCGAGAAGCACGGCACGGAAGCAAAACCGCGCCTCTCAGAAAAGAAAAAAAAGAAGAGAAAACATGTTTTTTTCATTTTCGAGAGGCACGACTGTGGCTCTCGCGAAAGCAAAACCAGGCCTCTTGCATGCCTCTCACGAAAAGAGAAGAAAAGAAAACATAATTTTTTTTTTCTGTTTTCGAGAGGCACAATGCATCTCGCAGAAGCAAAATCGTGACTCTTACGGAAGGAAAAAAAATAAACGCATTCTTTCAAGCAATTCTTTTTCAATTTTTTTGTCGAAAAACTAAGAAAGACCGGTGTAAAACCGAAAAGCCGACAAAAAATCTAAAAATCCGAAACTCATGCGGAAAAATAAAAAATCTGAAGGGAGTGCCTATAGGGGACACATGGCGGCGGCTGCTGAGAGTACGCCAAGTGATGCGCTCTCAGTCCACCCAAGTGATCGTTGGAAGGTTCGTGAAGGAGTGCTCCTCAATTAATTGCTCTCCCGTGACGACCATTCTTTAGTTTTTTTTCTTTTCTCGAGTTCGTCTTCTGGTATCCAGGGGAACAATTAACCGATCTAACCGAATTTAGCCCACTTCTTTACAGCCCAACTTACAATCGTTGACAGCCCAGAAGCCCAGCATCTCAGCCTGCCCTGCTCTCTCCCTAATTGCGTCTGCCCATCCCGCACGAAACGTCATCCCCAGGCACGCAGAGAGCGCCGAGATCCGCCCAAACCTAGCGCCGCCGCGGCTCCTCACCCACGCGGCCGCCGCGGCTCCTCACCCACGCGGCCGCCGCCGTGTTCGCGTCGGCAGAGCACGAGGCGCACGGCCTTCCTCGCATACTCTCGGTACGCGCTGTCCGCCTCGGCTCATCCTGGACTAGGTAAACCTCCGCCGCCCCCTCCCGCTCACTGCTGTTTGTCGCGCGGCGAGGAAATTTACGGGATTCCTGCCTCATCGATGGGGTTCTAGTTACGTCCTATGCTTGCCACTCGCATGTGTTACCCGTTGGATTTCTGACGCCGGTCAAGTTTTTATCGAGGTCCTCGACTGTGATCCAGTTGTAGTCACGGTGTTCTGATGCTCCGTGTCAGTCTTTGGCTGTTCACGCCCGACTAATTTTTCAGCTGTTTGTTGTTTGAAATGTTGCGCTGAAAGAGATCTATTGCTGTTAACTTTGAACTGTATTTTGGGCCCATCCTTTGTACGGCTGGTTAAATATCTGCAATTGCCATTGCATTTACCGCTGATAAGTAGACGTGTCAAATTGGTAGCTCTTGATGTGCATCCATCTTGAAATGGTGATGGAGTATCTATCCTCTGCAAGTTTTCTGCTGAAATGCTGTAACATCACAAATCAATAAGTTATGTGTCAATTTTTGCAACTAAGAATTCCTTCATTTTTACCTGTTGTGTGCAAAGCAGCCCCCCTCAAACTGAATTTGAACAATAATGGATGGTTGTTCGACACTTAAGTTCACCATGCTGAACAGTCACTTAACATTACGCGTAGCCTTTTTGCAAGCTTATGATATGTTAATCCATGGCTTATCCTCCTTATCTTCTTCCTGTTTTACTCGCGGGCCTACTCTGTTATTCTTGTTGCTAGTTTTGGCATTTGCACTTTTGTGCTTGTGATGTTGTTTCGAAAAACATGCTTTGAGGAATTGCACTGATCATCCACAGCTGACCTTTGTGTTACAGATGGCTGGATATATGTCACGAGGACCCCCAAATGGCTCTATTTATGTATGCAATCTGCCTCCTGGAACTGATGAGACCATGTTGGCTGAATATTTTGGCACCATAGGGTTGCTAAAGGTATGGGTCTTACCAGGTAACATTTTTGCAACCACATGCAAGTTCTTGAATGGTCTTGTAAACCCTTGTTAATTCCATTTCATGATAGATTTGTCATTTCCTCTTGTCATATCTCAACAGAAGGACAAAAGGACTGGCCATCCAAAGATTTGGATATACAGGGACAAAGTTACAAATGAACCAAAGGGTGATGCAACAGTCACATATGAAGATCCCCATGCTGCTTCAGCTGCTGTGGAATGGTTCAATAATAAGGATTTCCATGGAAGCATCATCCAGGTTCACATAGCTGAGTCAAAAAACAAAGATACAGTTGATAACTTCACCAATGTGAGCGTCGATGCTGAGATTGTTGGACAAGATGAATTGGATAACGGATCAGGCAGAGGTAGAGGGCGTGGTGATGGTCCAGCAAAAGCTTGGCAGCAAGATGGAGATTGGATGTGTCCAAATACAAGGTCTGTTACGATTGGTGAGCAACTTTTCTGTTGTTGTTGACTAGTTTGGTCTTTACTATGCAGTCTATCCTTTCTTATATGATTTCTTTTTTCAGCTGTGGCAATGTAAACTTTGCCTTCCGTGGTGTTTGTAATCGTTGTGGAGCCTCTCGCCCTGCTGGTGTTAGTGGATCTGGTGGTGGTGGTGGTAGGGGTAGAGGTCGTGGTAGTGATGATGCAAGAGGCAGTCGTGCTGCTGCTGCTGTTGGTGGTCCCCCTGGGCTGTTTGGTCCTAATGATTGGCCATGTACGATGTAAGGACATCTAAATATTTTTTATTCCATTGCTTTGATATGCCTCTTTATTACTTTGTCTTTACACCTCCATTTGTACTCCCTCCTTCCCAAAATTAATGTCCTGAGTTGTTTTAAAAAAAAGTTTGACTAATTTTGTGGTATAGAAAAAGAAATATTGACATCTGTTGATTTGGTATTTTAGATGTTTGATATTTTTTCTACGAACTTGGTCATTTGACTTAGGACAGCATTTATGTGCCTTATATTTTGTGAAACTGGGAGTACCCATCTTACTATTTAAAAAAATTGGTGGCTGTTTTGGTGGCAAATGATTTTAGAATGGTTATCACATGTTTTATTATCCTTGTTACAGGCTAAGTTTGCTTCATCATATTGTAATTGCTATTGTCCATTGTCATCCAAGTATTGTATAGACCTCGCAAGGAGGATACCCTCTTTCTAGTCTTACTTTTGGCCAATTAAAGTTCTTGAGAGTAATAGATGGACATTGTTTTGTAATGTTCTATAAGGCTGCTATCTGATATGAAACCTATTTTCTATGTGTGTTTCAGGTGTGGCAATGTAAACTGGGCAAAGCGAACCAAATGTAATGTCTGTAACACCTCTAGGCCAGGTCACAATGAAGGTGGTGTGAGGTACTACATATTACATGTTAAAAATTATTTGTACTGAACATGTTGCGAATTCAATTTCGATTAAGTCGCATCGTGCATCCTTCACCGATCTGACGCCCAGTGTAGCAGTAGTGTCTACAGTGTTATGATCCACCCACAACTGGGTGCACTATGTTATGGTCAAAGCTAAGCAGCTTTGTATCTGATTACTTACATCGAGGGTACATATTTGTGTCTTACACCTTTTCTCATCAATTATTGTCTTTGCAGAGGTGGCCGGGGTGGCGGCTTTAAGGAACTTGATGAAGAAGAACTAGAAGAAGTACGGAGGCGCCGGAAAGAAGCTGAGGAGGTAGGATGCTTTCTTTTGCATTATTGTATTTGTGTCATGATATTGGGTTTCCATATCAAAATTTTCTTTTTGTAGGATGATGGAGAAATGTATGATGAATTTGGTAACCTCAAAAAGAAGTTCCGTGCTAAATCATATCAAACTGAGAGTACACCAGCTCTTCCTGGGTCTGGACGTGCTGGATGGGAAGTCGAGCACCGTGGTAATATCTGCTCTTTTTTTCTTCGCTTTTAAGGCATTCTCGTTTGATTAAGTCGTGTGTTACTTTCATAGTTCTTGTCATGGAAGCACTTTAAATTCTGTAATACTGGGACTAGAGTTTTCCATTTTGCATGTGCTGTGCATGAACTGGTGATTTCGCTACTGTAGGTTCCACTGAGAGAGAAGGCCGAGAGAGGAGCAGAGATCGGGGCAGGGACGACTACGATGAAAGGGAAAGCAGGAACAGAGACAGAGGTTCTCATGGAAGAGAGCGGCGCCGTAGCCGAAGCAGGAGCAGAGACCGCGAGAAGGAAAGGGGGAGGGACAGGGGTAGAGACCGTGGCAGCGAGAGAAGCTGGGAGCGCGGCACCGAGCGTGAACGTGATCGCTACAGATGATATGTCAGGAGTTTTCTCGTGTTTGCTCGCCACTTTTCAGTTTTCTGAATCTTTTCTTATGCTGTTGGAGAGCTGTGGTGTATCACATTGCCATTAGACATGCTTAATTATTATTTATATTTGGGTTTTGGGTTCCCAAGAAACTGATCAGAAGAATGGGTGGTCAGATCATATGGTACAACAGAATTGACGAGCGATGACCATCGAGACCTGACAATGTCTGGATCTTAGTAGACTCGACGAACCAGGCATAGTACATGACTTGTTGCGGTTTCTGATGCAAGACGCCATAGATTGTAGCCAAGGCATCAGCCATGTCTGCTATGTTTGCATTTCTCTGATTTATCATCTCATTAATACGTATACAAGTTGACATTTGATTTGATGGCTTGACATCATGGTGCAGGCGTCCTTTACAAATCATTATCATGATTATCGGCAATTTGATATTTGTGTTATTTGTCTGAACCAGTAAAAAAACAAGAAATATCTTTCCATCCCCATAAATGCATTGATGGGCACTCCATCAGCTATCAAATTGTAGCGTGTACTGGTGATATACGTTTGCATCAACAGCGTAGGTAAAATTTCTGGAATATCAGGGCCTGCTCTGCTCTTTTTTTGTTTGAAAGATCCAGCGTTGCTGCTGCTGTCCTTTGATTGATCATCTGCGTTGCTGCATCTTGTTTTTGAACGTGTAGTTGTTGCGTTCCTGCCAGATTTCCCAACATGCAAGCAGGAGCATGGATCGGATGCCTTTCTTCCAGCCAAGGATCAGTCGCATCGAGGATGCTCTCGACGATGGAGGTGGTTGACTCCTGCTGCCCTGCCACTCGTCCCTTGGTTTCATGGAGGAACACCCGTCTGCTCTGCTCTCAAAATCACAAACCAAACGGGGTAGCCCATGATATCATGCTCCATACAAAAACTCGAATATGAGGTCAACTTCATGTTTTCCGTGAAGCACCTGAAGGAATGCTCCAAAAAGTCTAGTTTGAAGTTCGTCATGGACTTGGGGGAAGATTACCCCACATTTCCACCAATAAGTGGACACTTCTTCGGTTTTTCCGTAAAATTAGTCATTTCCCGCCAAACTTTTCATTCTTTGAAGCTGGAGCTAGCTGCAAGCCAAACATAATCCACTGCTCTTTGGTGCAATTGCAACTCCTGGGTAGATCTGCTTCAAAGTGAATTTGGTGGAGTGGAGGTGGTTTTCGAAGGATGGAGCAGTCCCAAACTGGCTTTTAAGCTCAATGTTGGGTTGTTCTATTCCTTATCTATAAAGTTATTCTCAGTTTCGCGTGGCGATAAGAAACCCTAGCGGCCAGCCTGTCTTCTTTGCCTCTCGCCGCTTGGCAAAGCCAGAGCAGCCGTCGGGGACGTTCTGAATTGCGGCGCGGGGGGGGGGGGCTCCCGTGACGTGCATGTTGAGGCTATGTGGTCGAGCTGCGCCGCGGCATATTTCGGCTGGCCGTTCTTGCTAGTGGCATTCGGAGGATCCCAGATCCATCACGATGACGATCTTCAACGACGACCTGGCATGGCCAGGTCACCGGAGAAGAGGGTGTCAAGGCATAGTCCCGGACGGCAGCGTGCTTAACCTCAACGGCGGATTTGGAATGCAGCAGCATGGGCGACTTGGTTCAAGTTACATTAAATAGTCTATGTGTCTAGTCTGGGTGACAAGGCGGCGGCGAGGTCCCCGTGTGGGAACAATGTCCTCCCATCCTATCCCAGTTCCGTTGGTGTGTTTATGTTGGGGAACGTAGCATGCAATTCAAAAAAATTCCTACGATCACGCAAGATCTACCTAGGAGATGCATAGCAACAAGAGGGGGAGAGTGTGTCCACGTACCCTCGTAGTCCGAAAGTGGAAGCGTTAGGTTAATGTGGTTGACGTAGTTGAACGTCTTCACGATCCAACTGATCCAAGTACCGAACGTACGTCACCTCCTTGTTCAACACACGTTCAACTCGATGATGTCCCTCGATCCCTTGATCCAGTAGAGGGTCGAGGGAGAGTTCCGACATCACGACGACGTGATGACGGTGATGGTGATGTGATCCGCGCAGGGCTTCGCCTAAGCACTACGACAATATGACCGGAGGAGTAAACTGTGGAGGGGGGGGGGACCGCACACGGCTAGGAGATTTCTTGGTGTGCCTTTGGGGTGCCCCTGCCCCCGTATATAAAGGGGGGAGGAGGAGGCCGGCGGCCAGGAGGGGCGCGCCATGGGGGGAGTCTTACTTGGACTCCTAGTCCAAGTAGGATTCGCCCCCCCCTTTCCTTTCTCCACCAGAGGGAATAGGAAGGAGAGGGAGAGGGAAAGGGAAGGGGGCCCCGCCCCCTCCTCTTTGTCC